TATTGGATCCATGGCACGGGTTGAGAAAGACGAGTGAGAGATAAGGACGACGAGAAGAAATGATAGGAATAGTAGCAAGACATCGGTATTTATACTAATCTATCATTTCTATCTCTCAAATCGACCGTTATACTATGGAAAACGGTCAATTTGAGAGATTTCTAGACAGAAAACCGTTGACCGACAGAAAGGAACGAAAAAGAAATCGTTAGTCCGCCGTTTACATTCAACCAATCGATAACGGATTACAATAGAGGGCGTTCAATTTGCGATTGACATTGAACTTAAAATCATTTATTATCAATAATAAGAATGAAAATCCATCTTGTTTGACAGAAGAATCAGCACATAAAAGCGTACACAAATGCGCAGCCGTACCATCAAAATATTTTCTAGCCCACTATTATTAGGGACAATTAATTGGGTCTTTAATCTCAGAAGAGAATCTTCATCTTTGATTTCGTAGACTTTATTAAATATTCTAAATTCCATGCCAGTTGAAAGAAGCAGTTACTTCACATTGGATTGTTTCGTCCGAGCCGAAGGGGAAGAGCAGCATTCAACGGAATATTATGATTTATAATACACAAGAAAGTGATTCAAAAATTTGATTATTGGCCGAGAGCATATATATATATATATTGGTGGATCCGAGTGGTGTTCATCCGAGGCACAACGTGTTGATGAAACGTTGTGTTAGGATCAAAACCTAAAAATTCACTTGGTTTGAGCATAATTCCGGAGTTGTGTCACGATCGGCCGGGAAGATAGGGGTGGTTTTTGCATTTTTTTCTGTTCCTCAATTTGCAGTGGTACTTCATGTGATTTTTGTAGGGATAGTGTTGAAGAATAGGGTGTCTAGGATTTCTTGTATTTTATTGACGTGTCTCGTCAAATTCGTAGGACTTCACTGTATAAATCTGCCATCCAACACTGGTCGTTACCGGCTACGTTACAATGTAATTTGGGGACTCAGAAGAGGAGTTTTTAAATAAATAAGATCTTTGATAATTGGTTACAGGAAATAATTGTTCGGTTCTTTTTTGATTAATCATCGTGTTCAACCGTTCCATTAAGTAGTGAATCATCTTCAGTGGAAAGTATGGACTGAAGTGACCAATTGAATAATAATTCACTAATGCACTTATACATCTTGAAATGCATCATTGCTCTATAACACACTAATGCACTTATGCATCTTGAAGTGCATTATGATTAATTTTCTCATTGGTCGTTACGTTCAGCCAGTCAATAAGCGAATGAACGATTTGGCGTCAATCGTATTGAAAGAAGGAATCATTCGTCATCGCTTCTTATCAACACATCTTCGACAAGTTGTTTCTAATGAAATTGTTTACATTGCTTACTTGAATTTGATTGCATTGATCACTCTTTATATCACTCTTTTTATATGTATTATATAAATATTAATTTGTCGATTAATTCTAGATATTTTTTATTATTAACGTCGTCGTTTTTTTTTGTCGCGTTTGGTTTCAATTAATGGAAAGTCAATCGTCGTCCGTTACACCTGTTGCTGTTGAATCGCAAGGTGGTGAAAGTCGTGATGGTAAATTATAACTCTGATATTTGTTTGTATGTATATTTGATTTATGAGTTTTTAATAAAGCTTCACCATCATCAACAATAAATTATGCTGCTGCTACGACGGCTGGGAATCTTGATCAACATGCCCGCCGTCCATATCCACCATTAAACCGAGTCGGTCCGGTTGCTGCACATGACCGTCCGTTTCTCAAATATGGCGATCAAGGTAATTGATTGCGGATAATTGAGTCGAGTGGAATGAAGAATATCGTCAGCTCTTTTTAATAAATTTTCCAATTTAGATAAAGTCTCGATTGCTCGAGACAACAATTTTGATTTGGCGGGAAAAGAGACTGCGTCTCGGCGAAAAGCAAATAAGACCCGCATGCATGTCTCAGCATTTGCCATCACATGTTGGACAAATGTTTCAAGTAGAATTTGTTTTCCATGAAGATATTTTTGTTATTAAGGTTTTTGTTTTATATAGAAGAAAAAATTCTTGATGATATTCGTGGTTATTTCGAGGCGGGTGTGGTTCGATACGTTTGTGTAGCGAGAGAGGTTGCTGGCGCCCAATCTAAGCCACATTTACATGTGCAAATCATCTGCACAAGGCCAGTCAATATTAAATGTTGGTTTCTCGATAAATACACAGGTACATTTCACTGCAATGTACATGGTTGATGTTTCAGGGTTCTTTTTGTTTCAAATAGGCGTGCATTGCAATTACCAGGTCACGAAAAATAACATTGCCTGGAATGAATATATTAAGAAAGGTAACGTAACATGTGAACTATTTCTCAGGTGATTATCGTACGCAACATTTGTTTTTTGTTTTTCGATAGACGGGGATTACGTGGAATTTGGTGATTTCCGTGATCCAGGAGACTCGTCTCAACCATTATGGCCTGGAACGCCAATTAATCCATCAATTGGCAATGCCACAACATCAGGCAAACCAATGACCGTCCGGGCCCAGGCCGAGGAGTGTCGTAAACGTAAAAATGAAATTGCTGACACGGCACTCACCATCGCCGAGACGAGTGTTCCGAAAGCAATGAAATACGTGCGAAAGAAATTGCCATATGTGTTTATGGATCGTAGTGAAAAGTAAATTAAATTGTTCATTTCATACCGCAGTTTCTAGTAAAACAACATCTGCTATAATTGTCTTTCACATATTTTCAGTTGTCAAAAATCATTTACCTACGTCCATAACGAAGCACAACAACAACATCGTGGTGCCGTTGAAAAGGAATTTTGTTGGGATTTGTCCTTTCCAAATTGTACACCACGAATACGTATGAATTTGAGATGATAAAACTTCAAAGAATCGCTTACTTTGAATATTTTCTTTTTCTATATTGCGGACGTGTACAGATGCTGTGGTTTCACATTGGCTCCTTCACGAGTTCCGAAATCCCAACCGTCCGAAGTGTTTGATCATAATCGGTCTGTCGGGGACAGGTAAAACAAACTAAAAAGAAAAAGAAAGAATAATTTTTTAATATAATTTACCATATAATTAAGGAAAGACCGCTTTTGCTCAATCCTTACCAGGCCTAGCCTGTTATTTTAAAGGTCGTTGGTGCTTGAACGTCTGGAAGGAAAACGCCCGGTATTTGATTTTCGACGACATACCGTGGGATGATTTCAAGGACGAAAGCTATCCCAATAAAAAAAATTTACTTTCGGCTAATGGCGAAACAGGCGTAAGATAATTTGAATATTTTTCACGGCAACAACATTGATTTAATGTTTCATTTTTTGTTAATAATCAATTGTAGGTTACCGATAAGTATAAGGGATCGACGACGATTAATGTCACCATGCCGTCGATCGTCTTGTTAAATCCTGGCGACACGGGTTCTTTGATGAGAACACCAGTAACAGCCGAAGAAAAGGATGATGCAGATTATTGGAGTCGTCGAGCTGTCGTCTTGGTCATGGGTAATGATCAAACCATAATAAAAGGAAAAACAATAGCGCTGTTTTTCTATTTCAATTAAGGTCCCGATGAATGCTTTCATCGACCCGAACCACCATCAGCATCGAACACAACGGGTTTTGCGTACAATGGCCGTCCACTCTTGGGCCATGATAATGAATTCGAAGATAATCGCCGTGTGTTTCTGGCAGGACAGGAACGACGTCGAAGAGCAGCAGCTGCAGCAGCAGCAACAACAACAACAACAACAACAGCAGTAGTAGTAAATGAGCCCGTTTTACAGTCATCACCAACAGTAATAAGCCAGGCTGATTCCAATCTAGCCATTGAAGATTAATTTTAGTTGAGTTATAATTGAAATTACTTTAGTTGAAATTGTATATATGTGTGAGTGAGTGTTTGTGTGTGTGTGTGTGTTGACCGTAGTGAGGTTAATTGTTTTTCGTTTCGTTTGTTATATTTTCTTTTATGAAGTACTTTGTTTGTGTGTCGCCATAAGGCATCGATAATAAATTGAACATAGATGAATGACGCGCGTACCATTTGACAATTGAACAATTTCAAACCTGTGTACTTGAATCGTACACATGTACGGTAAGTTCCATTGAGTTCAGCTATAGTAATAAATCAAAACAATATTTTCATTCAATCACAAAAAAACTACTGTGTACCATAATTTACTTACGGAGTATGTGGATAACAGAGTAACTTCCAGTACATCAAACATTTTTGGAAAACTTTATGGTATTTCAAGATCTTCTCACAAACACCTTCCTGGATATTTTAATACCAATTTACAATTTCAAAATTCTGACTTCGGAATCAGACTCCTCGACCTCGATTACCTTTGGTCAAACTTTGTCCTATTTAAAGATCTTCTCACAAATACCTTCCCTGGATATTTTAATCCCAATTTACAATTTCAAAATCTTCTAATAAATACTTTCCTTGGATATTACAAACCTAATCTACAATATTTAGATCTTCTCACAAATACTTCCATGAGATATTATGTATCCAATATATTATTTCATCATCTTATTACAAATAATTACATTTCTTGGATATAACAAAGCTTATATACAATATCAAGATCTTCCGACAAACACCTGTCTTGGATATAATTATCCCAATATACGAATTCAAAAATTCGATCTACTTTCACACCGTACACATTCCATATAATTTAGGACAAGTTTCTGTTCATACACATTTTATATATATTACGAATATGATTTGTTCGTACACATTCAATTGATTTTTGGTTTGTCAATTTTTTGTTCGTACACATTTTATATATTTTACGAGTATGATTTGTTCGTACACGTTCGATTGATTTTTGTTTTGTCTATTGTTTGTTCATGTACACATTGCATTGGTTATTCTATGAAATGCACTTTGACGTTAAATCGGAGACCTAAATGAAAGCAATTGGAATTGCGACTCGTATTCTTCGGAATTTGGGATCATAAGAAATAAATAGTCAAGCTACATCTACGTTGTGTCTTTCAAATGGTGAATTGGGATGTGTCAGATGGGGCTAGGGGCACCATGGAGATCCTCGTTATACTTTGCATCTCAGTAACACTCATGTGATACCTTCTAGATGGTTATGATTGCTACAGAAGTTGTAGATTTCAATGACTTATATCCAGTTGCTCGAATGGGAAGCATCATTCACCTATGTAAAATAATAAAGTAAAGGGATTCCCAGTATTTCTAGCAAATATTAGCATTTGCCTAGCATTGTAGCAATGCATGATGGAAGATTGTGGTTGCTGCAAAAGTTGTAGATTTCAATGACTTTTATCCAGTTGCTCATGGAGAGAAAACCTGTGCCCATATAAAATACCAAAGTTATAAGATTCCCAGTATGCCAAGCAAATATTGATGTGATGTTGATTTGGTGATAGTGGTCGATGATAGTGAGGAAGAATAAGGCAATACAACCGTCACAATTAGTGACGATGATGACGATGAGCTGCGCATTGCTGATAGTACATAGTGATAAAGTATAAATTATAGTTTTCTGTTGTGTGTTTAAATAAGATGGAAAATATTGAAATAAAGCGAAAAAACCTTTTGTTTTATTTCAGTATTTTTCATCTTATTTAAACACAGGTAAGCCATAGTGTATGGGATTTTGTCTGAGTTGCTAATATTCACTCGATTCGTACACAATATCTCATATCATGGTCATAATACAAGACTGGCCATGGCGATATCAACTATCTCGTGTGAACTCGAAAGATACCAGCATTTGTCCTTTGTTAAACCATTAAGCTAATCGTATGTCAAGTTCGATCCTTATATTATTTGAACGTGCTTCTATTCTGTTATATTGTTCACACTCGACATGAATGAAACAAAGCACCTCTCTACTGTGGGTGTAACGAGGTACACATACAGAGGATCTATCTAGTGTGGATGTAATGAAGACACACGAAGGTAATTATCTTTAGTGTACAAGTGAAGGAAATTAGAGATGTCACGAAGAGATTTCATAAAGATATCACAAATAATTAATAAAGTGAATAATATATATATAGTTTAAAACGCACAAGAGATATAAATATTAATTCAGTTTTTTACGCATGTTAAAAATAAAGACCTGGCCTGTCAAATGCCTTCACATTTATCCATCTTCATTTTACGCTCATCAATACATCCAGGTCCATATCACTCTGACATTTATGATTCACACATCTACAGCACACGGCCAATCATTATAATGACCATTCACAACCACTGTTATGATATCAACATCATCATCATCCTTTCACTACCTCTATCGGATAGTTATCGATACATTGTCCCCATTCCAACCATTTCGAACATGCGGCCTATAGATTCGAACATATGATTGTATGATTCATAGTATAGGGATAATAAAAATACTACCTCAGTGCTAATGTCCGATGGATAAGAGATTCTTAATAAAAGAGAGAAGTCAGTTGCTTTATGCAACACATATCTTAATATCTATACATTGTTCTGAGATACTTTTTGCTTTTATGGAATCTTTTGTCATTGAAATACATTAACCAGGAAAAAAACTCTAAATAATTATTTTCTATCTATGAACAACAATGACCATACATGATTCATTTGGAATCTTTTCTATGTAAATGATGAAGTCTGAGGACAACCGTCCTAGGATACAGAAAGAGTGTAAATGCAAGGGGCAATAATACCATACATTACAACGATGTTTTTCTTTGAAACGTCACTTCTTTTTGCTGAAAGGTTTCAGATAGGCTGTCCTAACTGAATCCTAAAGTTGTTGTATGGTGATCGATTTTGAAATGTCATTTGCTTTGATCACAAGATCGGTCGTGGTAGCTCTGGTATATCATTTTCTTTTTTTGTAAGTGAATATTGTCTAAAGCCACCTGATGAGGTCCTTGAGCAAGACCGAAACTGGTCCATAGATTTGTTCAATGGTACCTTTCCTACTCTCATAACTATGATGAAAGACATTGGTTTAGTTACTTTCTTGTCATTGTAGATTATCATTCTAATTATGGTAAAGACACGATTAGTTGACACGTCGGGTGTTAAAATAGGTAAATATAATCGTATCTATTTATCATAAGTCACGTTCTTTGTATCATTGTAGTAACATTGGATCCTCAAAGATCCAAAAATTGTATTCGGCGTCGTCCTCGTCCTCCTCCTCCTCCTCCTTTTCCTCCTTCTTTTGGTCGTCTTCATCTGGAACCAGCAGCTGATGCTGTGCTATTGAAAATAAGAGCAGCACAGGAGAGATTAAACTTCGAGATTCGAAGACAATATAGTCTCTATGAAGAAACACTTAAAAAAGGACAATGAATAGGCTTGCCTTTTTAAATTTTTAATGTTTTTTCTTTGTTTTTCTTTCTTTGTTATTGTTGTGTGTTTTCCTTTTGTTCATTGGTTCATAGAGTTTGTGGTTGCTAGTATAATGTCTTGTTGAAAAATGTTTTAGATAAACATATTCTACTAGCACTCTCTAACTTAGTATGCCTTTCGTTATTCGTGAACGAAAGGATATTGTCGATTTAAGACCTATCCGACGAGATAGCCCTGTAAGTAGAAAGAAAGACGGAAAAAAAACAAAGAAGACTATCTATGTTATTTTTTATATCTTTGTTATAGAAAATTCATGGCTATCGATGGAAAATGATAGCCCTATTGGAATTGAATGAAGAAGGCTATGTAAGTATTGAAAACTAGACTTCATTGAGTTTATAATATAAAGTTTCCTTATTTTTTAATATAGTATGTTTTACCATTCTCTCGAAGAGTGGTTGATGTTGGCCTTCTTCCTTGGCCTCGAGTGCCTGGTGTTATTCCACCAGATGGATATACAGATTGTGGCTGCATAGGTTGTGAAAATAAATCCTATGCAGACCACATTCTTAAGGATCTGGACGAGGAAGATGATCCTACGTCAGGGAATCTACACTTGGAGGAAGTGTATGTGGACTCTGATGACGACGATGACACTATCGTCATGTCACCAGCATCATCAACATCATCGCATGCGAATGATGTTGATATGAGCGATTCTGAATCCTTATCATCAGCACTACGTAATGATTGTCGGATCATTGATAGTAATGATGATGATGATGATGATGATGATGATGATAAAGATAGTGATGATATGGATGAGAATGAGAGATCTGAATCTTCGTCATCACACGATGATGGCGATGATAATGATGATGATGATGATGATGATGATAAGGATATAGTCTCAACTCGGTCATATTCGCCATTCGATTATGATCCATTCGACTCGTACGACTATGAATGTTAATCGTTATTGTAAATAATATTCCTTTTTATTTTGTGTTTTTCTTTTTCTTTTTGTTTTTCTTTTGTGTTTTTGTTTTTGTTTTTGTTTTTCTTTTGGGCTTTTCTTTGTGTTTTTTTTGTCTATATAATGAAGTAGTTTTTAAAAATAAATATATGAACTAGAGATGAGAAAGTTATTGTTGTTTTTGTTTTTTGTTATTATAACAATAACACTAAGTGTTTTTGTATGAACATCAAAGGATGTTCACATAGTATCTTTTCCTATCATTATCATTGATATAACAACTAGTCGTAAATATTCTGAGAAATAGTAAAATAATGTTATCATCACTAATGTGAACCTTTTCCTTGTTTTCTAGATTATGTTTATCTAAGTTTCATTATGGATAATAGTGAAAGCGATGTCGATGATAAGACACTAGTTCATCGACCAAGAACATTATGTTTAGTAAGGATTCTCTATTAACATTTTATTTTACAAAAAAAAACAAACTAACATTATATCAATCTTTAGGAACACGGATCGATGGACATTGATATCAACGAACAGATACAAGTCATTGACTTGTGTACACCTGATATGGATATTAAAGATATTGCACTTTCACCGTCAAGATTTTCTGATCTTCAACAAAAACATTCTATATTGGCTTGTTATCCAATCAATAGTCAACATGAACAGGGTCCACCATTATTAACGAACATACCACGTACATATTATAGAATAATATCTTTTTGTTAGTTTTATTTCTATTTCTTTTCTATAATTATAGCCCATCAGCTGACTCGGACAGAGTTAGCATATCGACAATCGAATGCTTTTCCATCAGCATTTCGTTTTGTTAATTATGATTCTATGATACCATCATTTCTACGTGAAAAGTATCAAATGTACTTTGTTGATCTACTTGAACGTTTGAAAGTTGATGTATCAATATTGGATTATAATTATACACGATTAAATAATTATATGAGATTGTTAATGTATGAACAAATAAAAGTATTTAATTCTCGAATCGATCAAATTCCACGAATCGAAGAAAGTGAATATCCACTTCTATTGGAATTCTTTTTACAATTTGATAGTAAGTCTTATCTTCTTCTTCTTCTTCTTCTTCTTCTTCTTTCATTTTTATATCATACTTTTTCTAGTCAATCTATTCTACATGAAAACATGTTCACTTCATTATGCTCGACCTCGTACATTGAATGAAGGACTATTTTGTTTACAAGAACCCGAAGCTCGTTATGAATTTGCTTCATGTGGCAATTGTGCATTATGTTATCCACAATACGATAGGACCTATCGTGTTAACAAATCTATTGTAGCCTTTAATCAAGCTCATCAACATCGATTTATCAATGGATATCGTGCTATTCTTAATTGTTCAGCGGTAGTTTTTCATCGATGACGACACTAGTGTCGATGTCTCTTTTTTTGTTTTGTTCTTTTAGTTCTGTTACACACGAAATGTTATCTATGCATTAACATGTCCATGTGGTAGATTCGATTATGTGGGTGCAACAACACAAAGTTTACATGATCGTCTCATAAGTATAGATATTTGTTTGTTTACTCATTTATTTATTTTTCTTCTTACAATAGAACATCGTGAACATGGCAATCGAATCATACATGAATTCTTACTTGGCGAAGCTAATATTGTACGTGATTTAACACGTGGAAAATCAAATGAGTATATGCTTTCATTAGTTTTATTTTTTATCTCTATCTCTATCTCTATTGTTTTGGTAGGATTTCAACTAAAGATCATATGAAATTGTATCAACATTCTGCCCGATGTCATGTAGCTATGCAAATATTTTTGGATGCAAATCCACAATATTGGCGTTTCATACCTATGACATTCGAAGAATCAGAAACACTTGAACAACGATCTATTCATGGGCTTGGTCTACCGGAAGAACTCGATTGGACTTTACGATCGAGAGAGGACTGTAAACTATATGTTGCATCAGTTCCTAAACCACCTCCAGATTATAGATTTTCCAATCGTCAACAAGCATTACAATTATCTTATTTCTATAAGAAACGAGATAAAATATTACCAAATCAATCGATTGATTTGTATAATGCTACTATTGTAGCTGTTTTACCAGAGTCGTGTTCAGAAATGTTTCGATTCACTATTGAATCCTTATTTATTACTCATGCTGACACGAAACTCAATACAATTGGTCATATGTTGAATGAGAATTCAGTTGGTAATCATCATCATCCATTATTTAATCCATGGTTAGATCGAGGTACTCAATGGTGTGATGGATTACAACGGCGACCTCAACCAAAATAAGACATCATCATACTAACACACACACACACATATGTATAGTTAGATCTATGCTCATTGTATTTCCTTTTTATAAAAATAAACGTCTGATTACGTACAGTACATGTACACGTCTATCTTTATATGTATATTCTAGATTATTTTTGTACCATGGATATGCCATCAGGACCAAAAACAGCACCAACACCCCAAACAGCAGCAACAGCAACGGCATCACCATCTGGATCATCGAATAAAGGTCAACAAATCATCTCGTCACCATCATCGACACCAAAATGTTATCATCGTCATTGGAATGAACTACGACATCTTGAATCAATATGGACTGATACCAATTTAGATGGTGTACAATCTCAACAATATCGAACAGCTATACAAGCTGCTCATTTAGCAAATCGAATGCAACACATGCACATTATTCCTGATCCTAATGCGTGTACAAGACCACGTCTACCAAACATTAGTTCATCGAATACAGTATCGTTACAACATGAAATCTCATCTGAAGATAGATTGATTGAACGATTCAAAGATGTGATGAACGAATTTGTTAGTCGTCCTTATCGTCAATATTCCTATGATACAAATATGCGCTGGAGTATTGATCATTGTGAACAGATAAGATTTAGTGTTATTGTTTCAATAAAGAAACCTTGAGATTTTTCCATTAATAAAGAAGAAGAAGAATATATTTAACTTGTAATAACATTCTTGAATAAATATTCTAGATCATCACACAACAACAACAACTACTACTACTGAGTCATGTCTTCCACAAATCATCGATCATCGAGTACACGTCCATCACGAACTACATCTAATCGTCTGCAAGTAAATGTTGTTCGATCAACCAGTGTGCCACAACGACAATTTATATTTATTCTTACGAATAATCCTGAGCTATTACGTCATACACAAGATTTACAAGTACAAGTGAAAAAAAGTTATCTCTTAACACTATTATCTATTGTTCATTCTAGCCTACACCACATAGGCAAATAACAACACTAACAACAACAACAGCTCCACCTCAGAATATAAATGATGCTCGTGAAGCAGTACTCAATGATCTTCTACGTGTTGAATTGCGTGAAGTAACACGTGATTATCTTTCTCGAACACGTCGATCCTATCCACTTCATTATGTATTTGATATGACTGATATTGAACCCCGACAGCCATAATATCTCTTTTGTGTTTGTTTGTTTTTTGCTTCTTCTTCTTCTTGTTGTTGTGACTCTCATTGATTTATTATCTATTGTGAATTTTCTATTCTAGATACTCTGTAATGGCTTCATTCAATAGTAGACCCTATATGCATCGTGAATTATCGACAAACGTAGGTAATCAATATTTTGTGATTACATTAACAAATTTTCCTGATTTTTTACGACGTACACCTCAATATCAACTACCAACAGATCATGTAATTTAAAAATAATGTTTTGTTTCTTTTTGTATTTTTTCGTTATTCATTTCATTATAGCAACCTGTAAACGAACGTGATGATGCTTTCTTTCTATCGAACGAATCGGTTCATAGACGAGTCGATGATTGTGAACAACACGAACGGTTCTTATATAATGAATTGACATACGATTTAGAACAATCTATTCGAGTTTATCTTCAACGCACTCGACGATCCTATCCAATTAATATGGTTCTTGATCTAACAAATATTCATCAACGACGATAAATCGATGATCGTGGACTCTCTCCTTTTTTCTTCGCTTTTTGTTTTGTATTCATATAATTATGTGTCAGAAAAAAAAATAGATTAAAAATATTTTCTATGTTTCTAGATAACTATTATTCAGATATGGAATTCAATCCAGAAGGATTAGGTCAATTTATTCATCGTTTAGTTGTTCAACAAACAACGGATGCTCAAGAAAGTGATGTCGAAGTAACCGATGATGATAATAATAGTAGTGCGAATGCGACTGATCCAAATAGAAAACGATATTGTTTGATGATATTCAACGATCCAAAATTATCTCGAGATTTGAAAAACAAAACTAAACGGCAGCAAGAAACAGTAAGTGATTTTTTTTCTTCTATTTAATGAACAAGCATAGATTCATGTAATTTTTAGGCTAATCGACAACAACGACCCTCACAAGTAACAACTCGAACTGTAGCAACAACAACATCATCAGCAACAACGTCATCAACAATACCAGTACAACAAGATGAAGACGACGACGATGATGATGATGAGGAGGAGGAGGAGGAGGAAGAGGAGGACGACGAAGAAGTGCTAGCTTTAAATCTTCGAATAAGTCGTAAATTAGAAAAATTAGTGAATAAATTCATGAATCATCAACGAATCATCCCAATGGGAAGATATTATCTCGATTTAACGAATCCAAAATGATTTGTTCTTGTTTTTAGATCAGAAAAAAAGCTAAATAAAAGAAACTATTTTGTTTTGTTGTTTTCTGTATGTTTTTGCTTTTTGTCATTTGTCTTTCGTTATTTTAGATATGAATTCAAATAAAAATAATAAAGACGAAGAATTCGATGATATTTTTGATATTGTCGATGATGCTTTGGATACATTGGAATATACAGATGAAGAATTAAATCGGTATTTCCTATCTGGTCATTTACCTTCGATCGTATCAGAAGAAGAAGAAGAAGAAGAAGAAGAAATAACGGACGATGATGTTGTTATTGTTGAAGTAAAATATTTTTCGTATAGAGAATTTAACGAAAATAATATTTATGTTTTTTTTTATTCTCATTTAGACAATGCAACAAGAAAAGAAAGAAGAAGAAGAAGAAGAAGAAGAACAAGATGTAGTTCTATCACAAAAATTCAGTCAATTATCAACCCATACAGAAGATGAACAAAAATCGGATGCTACTCTTAAACGTCGACGATCTAGTGTTGCATCATCGAGTCCAGATGTTCATATAAAGAAAACAAAAACGATTATCGATGACGATGATGAATTGGGTGATGACAGTACGGTTGAACCAAATCAAATACCAACGTATTTATTAATGACAAATCGAGAGTTTCTTCATATGGCTCAAACAATAACAAAAGCAATTAGTTCTATTCATATCAATGATATACAACAATTAGCTATATTAATGCATCAAATAGCGACGGTTCAAATAGACAGATATATGATGAAAGTCTATTTACATTCAGTACAAGGAACATTAAAAGAACCAAACTATACTCCCATTGAAATTAATCGAAGTGTATGGCCTATACAAGTTCAATCATTAATGTTAACACATCACAAGTCAACAACATCTATGGAAATTCATACAGAAGAAGAGCAAACTATGTGTGAACAACTTCTACATCAACATTTACAAGATATGAAAGAAAAAATTCAAGATTATGAACAACAATTAAATGTAAAGAAACAAACGTTAAATGATTTCACATCCAATGCAGAAGAAATGATTCAAAGTTATGTACAAATGTATGGCATCAAACAATTGAAAAGGAAACGTGATTTAAAAGTTGCCTTGATCAACTATCACTATGATTCAGAACTATTAAAACGTCAATATCTACATGAACAACCCAATCAATATCAAGTAAGTTATTCTCTATCGATATATATATATATATAATTGTCTTTGATATATCTTTTAGATTGAAATTGCAAAAACCATTTCAGATACGAAACGTGAACTAGAAAAAGCAAGACGAGAATTATTGGAATTAAAATATCGTGTCTTCTATAATAAACCATCGCCTTCATTGGATTCTATTCAAGTATCTATTCCTAAAGTCGACAATAACAATGATCAACGATCCATTGATAAATATAAAAAAATAATTCATCGAAATAAACTTGACGTGATGGCTACTAAAATCTTAGAAGCTGAAACCAAATTTTATCAATGTTCCACAATATTCGACAATGAATTGTCGACCATGTGGAGAAATCATCGTGAACTTGTTAAAAATAAAGGTATGCCTACAAAATTGACTGATATCGTTGATCAACGTTTGAAGATAATGTCGGATCGATGGCGAGATATCTATATTTATCGAATTCAATGTTTTTCTCTTACTTCTTATTACAATGATATCGATCCAATGTTAGAGCGTATTGGATTTTCATCATCACTCATCATTGATACTTCACATCAACTTATTCCAGAACAATTAAAATTATTAAGTCGAGGGCCTACATATGTGCCACCCTGTCAACTATCGATATCATCATTAAATCAATCCACCGATGATATTATCAAAAAACAATATGCATCATTGAAACATCAATTAAATAATGTATTTTCAAAATATCATGTTAACATAGCATTATCTATGGAAATTCAACAGAAAATCAATGATACATTTACAAATCTATTTTCTATACCCATACCTTCGAATATTCAACAGCGTGGTCTTCATGAAAAACATCTCGTTCAATCCATTCGATTTGCATTCAATAAACAAAATCTGATCTTACGTCGAACGGCTGACAACAAGAATACATTCTATTTGGGCAATCGAAAAGAATTCGAAGCAAAAGCAAAAGATTATTTAATGAGATCACATGATTATACTGTGTTTTTAACTAAATATAAATGCAGTGAATTAAAAGAAATGATCGAGTCCATGAATGAATTATTGATGCGATTGAAAACTAATAAATCAATCACTGATAATGTCTATCATCGTTTATTGATTGATGCAAGTAAAGTTAAATTACCTTATCTATACTTCTTACCAGATGTTTCCAAAGTAAGTCTTCATAGATTACATATGGGTAATACTTGTTTTTTCTTCTTCTTCTTCTTTTTACTATAGGATAATGAAATTTCAATGATGCCTATTATAACATCAGAATCTAGTGCAACATGGAAAATCGGTAAATATTTAAATGATTTATTACGACCGTTTGTCAACAAAATTCTACAACCAACAACCTTTCGTGATGAACCTGATTTCATACAAAAATTACATCAATATGTTCATATCGATAAACGTCTTCGAGCAACAACATTATTTTGTACGCTTCAAATTTCAAATTACTATGCATTAGATCTACATCAGCGTATGATTGATACAGTGGGCTGTTTCTTACAGGATAATCTATTATCAAATAAACTTGAACAATTAACGATTCAAACAATTAAAAATCTTCTACATATTTATCTCTATTATAATATATTCTATTATAAAAATCAAATTTATAAAATGGCCAAAGGAAGTCCAACGACAATGGCATTATCAGAAACATTATCAACTATTTATTTGTTTGTATGGGAAAGTCGAATCACAAAAGAACTTCGTTCAAAAAATGAACTATTTGGAAGGTATAAGATCTATTCATCATTGTCATATCTTTTAACATTCCTCTCTCTCTCTCTCTCTCTCTCTCTTGTATTTCTAGATATAAAGATCAGATCTTTTTCACATGGAATAATTCAAATGAAAAAGAACTTTGTCGATTTTTACAAACACTACAAGATAAAGATTCGCCTATTCAATTTCAACAACGCATCGCATCAACTGTCCGATTTCTCAATGTTCATATCGATAATTTGAAAGGTGAATTATCGACTCGAATTTATCATCAGGCAATGATGCAAAAGTATTCATTACCCTATGTAGTGGGTCATTCAAAACAAGCTCATAGTGATTGGTTTCGATCAGCTTTAATTCGTGCTGTTTGTTGTTCTTCTTCGGTCGATAATTTTCATCTTGAACGAGTGACTCTCGAATTAACATGTCTTACCAATGGTTATTCATTGCAATTTGTTGAAACACAAGTAGAACATTTCTTCGGTTATTTTCATGCACACGAAATGCGATATTCAAAAGATCCAACAATGTATGATACATTTCGAAAGAATTGGTTCAGTTATATGACAATGCAATATGAACTGACGGATAAACTTCATCAATTCAATGATAAAGGTCAGTTGATTCAACTCAATTATCGTTATGAACACGGTCCACGTTGTGAATTTAATGAACAATTCCATCGCCTATGGTCACATTATTTTCATCAACATCCAACTCTATCAAAAGAAAAAACAAAAGTACTATTGACCACCAAACAACAACACTCATTAAATACTCTTTTAGCTGAAGAAAAGCCAACTAATTTAATTCAATAGAACTTTATTTGTTTTTTGGTTAAAAATAAAACATTAAACTTTGGAAACTTTCTAGATTTTTATGCTTTCTATCATTGTAGATATCATTTATTTTCGTAGAATACTACCATGTCAACTGAACAACAACAACAACAACAACAACAACAATCTAATCATGAATCTCAATCATCGAAGGAAACTTCAATAAAGACCAGTGTACCACTACCATCTCTTGCTGATTTTCTACATTGTTATGTTCCAATTACACGATGTCAAGTAAAATCCTTCTATAATATTCTTAGCTATTGATTTCTCTTTATGATTATTTCATTTCAGGTTAATCAAGAAGATGTTGGCGTACAATTTCATCAAAAATAATCCTATTTTGAACTTTGTTTTTCTTTTTTCATTTTGTTGTTTATTTTTCTATATTAGTTTTGTTTCTTGCTTTCTAGATATTTATTCATTTCAGATTTAAATATATATTCTACGAGAATGAGTGAATCTAATCAGTATAACAATGAAAACCGTGATGCTCAAGGTCGTTGGTATGAACTTCTTTCGCCAACACAAGTATTGACTGGACCAGTACCAAACAACGTACAGACAACCAGAAAAGAACATAAGAAGAGAACATCACATGGCAATCGGAAAGCGCAACATAAGACTCGAAGACGTCAACGTCAACGTCAAGAACCTATAGATCAAACGATCATTGAGGTAACTCCTAGTTTTCGAATAATAATGCATTTTTTATTTATTTTTATTCTTGAATTCGCTTTAGGATGATCAATTGAATAGTGAACATCGAACAACGACTGAAAATAAACGTAAACGTCAAGTAAATACAGATGAGATCAATATTAGTCAATCACTCAGTCAATTGTCTATTTCACAACGAAATCCAAAAAAGACAAAATCAACATCACAAAATAATCTATCAGAACAAAATGATCTACAACAACGATTTAAGCCACGTTATCTAAGAGTGTCTGATAAAATATTAAAACAAATGTTATCGAATACAACTGAAGATAATCTGGACATTCGAAAATGTTTAGATACAACTGAAAAAGTTCAGTTAGTTCGTCAAGTCATCGAAGCAACGAATAATCTATATTATTATGATTTACAACGTCAATTATGGCAAGAATATTATAATATTGGTACGAAAGAAGATGTATGGAGACGAAAAATAACCAAGTCTGCTGCTAAACAACATCGTACATGTCGAAGCTATGGTCTACCTAAACATATCGTCGAAGAACGTCAAAAGGCAATTACACGGCAAATTCAACATGGAATTAATGAACTACAGAAATATGCCATACAATTACAAAATGATCTACAACAGTGGCAACCATCGGTGGATCTAAATATTTTATCAACTGCAATTAATAAATTAGTAATGAGTGCTCAACGAAGATTGAGACAAGAATTTGATTATAAAACAAGGATGCTTGTATTCAATTCAAATGATCATCATTTAATTACTAAATTCTATAATTTACGACCCGATGAAGAACAGGTATGCTTAACACAAAGGCGAATTTGTTATCTTTGATTATCCTTTCTTTTTTGTTTTGTTTTAGATTTATATTACAAAAAAGATTTGGCAAACAATAGCTGACCTATTGAAAACCAAAGGACAAGAAGAAATTCTTCGTAAACGAATCTATCTACGACGATTACCAAACAAATTTGATAGATTAATCGATCAATCCTTGGATTATATTGAACCAATGCTTATGAATGATGTTCTTGATAAAGATCGACGTGCTAGTTTATCATCACGATATTCAAAAACAATTACACAATATAAATTTGAGTTAATGACTTTAAATCTTGATACAATACAGGCTGTTATTCGTGGTCATCAACAATTACTTGATGATTTACAAAGTCAACTATTCACAACTTGTAATAGTTCATTAATTCAAACAATACAAGATCGTGCAGAAGCAATAAAACAACAACATGAATTCCATTTAAAACATCAATTGGATACTTTTTTCGACGAAGCTCCGACGACATCAAACGAATAAAGAAGCAATTTTGTCGTCGTCGTCGTCGTCGGAGCAACCCATGTATTATTTATACAACAATTACTGCTTCATTACCTTTTATCGAAGTCGATTTAAATTTAACACCGCAACAAATGTCTATGTTAATTAAAGGTCTCAAATATATTATACCATGTCAACATCGATTTTCTCGTCAATCAGCTGAAGAAATAGCCGAAAAACAATATAAAAATATATCAACGACGGTAAAAAAGTGCCTGGAAGATCATAGTTTGTCAACTTTTGATCAACCAGCTAAGCAAGCCTTTCAAGAATTGAAAACACTATTACACAACTTATATTCAAAACGACTACCAAGATCACTGGCATTACGTGCAAAACGTGAATATAAAACAATACAAAGTATTCAACAACTTCTATGTCAACGACCTGATATTGTCATACGTCGTACTGATAAAAGTAAAGTATTTTATATTGGTAAAGCAAGTGATTTTGAACAGAAAACAGAAGAATATATGCTAAAAACAAAAGCTTATGAAGAAATCATCGATGGTCGTTGTCCTCTGGGAGATAATTTACGTGCCGTACGAAATCTATTGAATTATTTCGTTACTACAAAAGCTCTTACTAGTCAACAACGTAGTAAACTTTCTCCAAAATTAAACAAGCTAGAATTAGGTCACTTTCATGCTCTACCTAAACCACATAAAGTAACTATCTAGTTTTTTCAATGTATTTTCTATGATTTATTATTTTCTTCTTCTTCTTCTTCTTCTCGTTATAGCTTGGAACACCAATAAGACCAATCATAGCATGTATAAATGCACCAACTACATTGATATCACAATGTCTGAATGATCTACTTGCACCGATATACTTGAGTGTTGCACGTGCGACAACATTTACTAATAGTATCGATGTCACTCGAAAATTAGAAAAGCATGCTGCCGATGGACATATTACATCAACAACTAACTTTATTATTAGCGATGTTGAAAATCTTTATACAATGATCACACGAGAAGGTGCACTAGCTGCATTAAGTCGATTTTGTCTTAAACATTCAATAAACAAACGAATCGGTACATTTACTGTCGATCATATCATGAAAATGGCACGTCTAATATTGGATACCAACTCATTTGCCTACAACAATCGATATTATAAACAAATTCGTGGTGGAGCTATGGGTTCAGCATTTACACAAGTATTAGCAAATATATATATGCTGGAATGGGAACAAGATTTGATTGCCTATCAAGCATCAAAGAATGAAATCTATGGAAGGTTTGTTTTTTTCTTAATTTCATAAATAAATACTATTTTCATCTTTCTCTTTCTTGTAGATACATCGATGATATATTCATGACAACAAATCAAAGCATTGATGAAATGAAGAATATACTGGATCGTGCCAATGATAAAGATGTAAACATCAAAATTAACTATCAAATTGGTAAATCTGTTGACTTCTTGGATATTACCATTCACAATGAAGATGGTCGATTAAGAACATGTCTCTATCATAAACCATCTGCTGAGCCCTACATTTTACCATATTCATCAGATCATCCTCGTCATATCTCTCGTAATATACCTTATGCTGCATTATTAAGAGCCGCAAGAATATGTTCCGATGTCAATGACTTTCATGCAGAATGTATTCGTATTGATATGTCTCTATTATTGAATGAATATCCACCAAGTTTCATTCGGAAACAATTTTATCATTTCTTTCATTGTAATAATGCGATGAACGTATTAACAGAATTAAATGCGAACAGTTATCGCTATTTACATCAAAAATCATTATATCAACCGACACGACGAGAAAAACAATTGACTGTCGTACTGAAAGATGCTGTTCTATCACCAGCCGTATTGAAAACAAAGGTATGGGATAAAAGTATTATGTATCCACGTTATCAATTCGATGCATCAAATTCCAAAACATTATCAGTACAATTTTACAAATGGTGGAAAAATTATTATAAAAACGAGAAAGCCTCATTACGAACGGTGAAAATTCGACTAGTTGCCAATACGAACGAAACCGTCGAATCTTACCTCATTCATAAGAAGCCTCCAAAAGAAATATTAACACGGATGGAAGATGATGCACACAATCGCTGATTCGTCGTGAAACTTGTAGCCTTTGTTTGTAATTTTCATTTCATTTCGTTTGTAAATTGTCAACATTTTCTTTTTGATAAATAAAGAAGAACATTCTTAATATAATAATCTTTTATATTCTATCTGATATACTAGCTTTTCATAAAGAAATAATGATCATACATTAAAGATGATGAACTCATTATCTATTGTAAAGACATCGTATCATACTTTTATTCTTAGTTGAACTCCCTTTCGTGGGCACCCACACTATGTGATATGCTGCTTGTGAGATAGAATGTTTATGAATGTATGAATGAGATAGATATGACAAAAAGTTGATCCTATATTGGTTTTCTTCCAGAAAAATACCGAAGAACGAACAGAACATTTTATGTGAACGTTCAGTTATTTGATCGAGATTTTTCAAAATTTAACTCCCTTCCGTGGGCACCCACACTTTGTGATATGTACATTTTGAAGACAAAAAAGTGTTATGAATACATATGATGTAAATACATCGATGTTTAATAACAATTCACTCACGTTTAGAGATGTCACAGTTAGTTTTTCATGGTCTTTTGTGTATTTATATTGTTTGACAGCTAGTTCGCTTGGGGTGGTGGTTGGCTTGTTGTTGTCAATTGAGCCCTTAGAAATTTTTAGATGTTTGACTTATCATCATTTGTTATTGTGTGAACTTTGGAAAATGAATGATGTTTATGGTCTCAATTAGTAGTTTATAAATTAATGCTTTGTTATCTATTTAATCTTTGCTGTTCTATCATTGGTAACACCCGCTGTAATATGTGATGTGATTGAATATTTTGTTTATCTTATAGAAATAATGTGAACCAATTTTGAAGTTTCGCTCTCGAAACTTAGGAAATCCATATGAATCATCGTATCTTTAGATGTAGCATCTTTATTGTCAGCTAACGGATTATAAGAGTAGAACTGATAGGTTTCAGGTTAATCTATCTCAAAATTATCATTCTAATTGTAGACTATGTAACTTATTTATGATATGTGAATTTTTCTGTTTTGAATATGGTCAAAGATAAAGCTGTCTAATAAGATTCTTGAGAAAAGTCGAAACGCATCATATTTATATTTCACATATTCTTGAACGTAGAAGATATTGTGAATATATGTTTTACTGGCATTTAATTTAAATCATCAGTTTTTGTTTTTCTTTCTTCCATAATATGAAGTAAATAATGTTCTCTTCAAAATTTACCATTATATGATGTGAAAATATCATGAGACTACTCGTATGAAATGAAGACATTGCATGTTTTACAGTTCATTAAGAGACATTTGAATAGATTCATTTTTTGGCATGCAAAATAATCCTATTTTACAGGATGTGTTCAAATGACTAGCAATCTGAAAAGTAATAGCATCGTATAATATTAATTTTGTTGGGATTTTCGTTTACTCAAAGACGTATATATATATATATATAAATTCTTGAGATGTATATTTCATCATAGTATAAATGTCGAAATAGTTTTTACTTTTCCTATAAGATTATTTTATAATAATGATATCGAGTGAAACAAATTTACCATTATGGTCACGACTTCATTCAATACATAATATTTCATGGAATCTATCCTGTATCTTATGTCGTTTAGCTAGTATCATTATTTTATTTATATCAATCGCTTGCTTTACATTCAATATAGGTCTTTTAATTTTCTCATCGGTGTCCAAATAGTCTTGTCATTTCATTGGTCTTATCATCATTCATGGTTCTAATTATAGGTGTACCAGGTATTCTTGTACAATTATTTACATGTCATCGTTATTGTTCAAGCATTTATTGTCGTATTGAAGGCTTTATTTGCTACTTATCTGATTGTTTATGTATGTTACTATATATGATGTTATCATTACATCGATATTTATCTTTATGTGCATATGATCGTTTATTATACTATCCAAGTTCATCTTTTTGATTATTTAAATTCTTGTGTACCTCAATGACTTGATTTTCATTCTAGTATTAATTGGTAAGATCAAACAAATTGAAGTCATTTATATATTCTTTTATCTTTTATTCTCATATATTTTCTTTCATCCTCAATTCTATTTTATGTCAATATTCGAGTACATTTCATTATTCGACATTTTTATTATAAACATTTTTTAAATCCATCATTCTCAAAGCTTTCTTTAGAAACAGTTTGGAACAATTATGTATTAGTAGATATTGCGTACGTAAAGCTACTGATCGGAAACGCTTTCGAAAGGATTATCATTTTTTGAAAGTTATTATATATATATATCTTGTTTACGTTTATCTAATTTCATGGACATCTTATTTAACAATTGCAATTTTACAATTATTAAATATAAAATTTATCTTTTAACGTTTCTTTTTAATATTATTAAGTTCTTTTATTGTTAAATTATCAGTTATTTTAATACCGTTCGTTTATTTAAGTAATATGAATTCTAGACATTTTGAAAAGCTTTTATTCAAATAAGATATCAATTATATCTTATATGCCTCAACTTTGTCGTTTGAAACTATTATACGTATGCGATTATGATGGATCAAAACATTGACAGTTTATTACCAATTTCATTATTCAAGTTAATAGTTTTTTCGATAGATTGATATATGATATTAGATTTAATGGATTTCAATGGTCTATTTAAAAAGAAAACATATTTTCATGTTAATCAATGGGAACGAATAATTCGACATCATTCATATGAATTGAAAAATTTTTCTGATATACTATGAACATAAAATGCTGAAAAATTCTGGTTAATGTAATCGATTCTTTTTCTCTTTTTGGCATTGAACGACAAACGATCATAGAAATTGAAATTCATGATAGATCTATTAAAATAAACAATACGTTCGTATAGATACATCAGTTAACTTCTTTGTTATAAAATAGATACATTTGTCTGTCTAGAAAACCATGGTATGCATATATACAAAAAAAACATGGTCAATTCTTCTGTGCAACTTATTCGTGTAAATGTTTATTTTGAGGAGTATTTTACTTTATTAAAATAACATATGGATGATATTTTAGCTGTTGGACAGATTCTATCATTTGGAAATTAAAAAGAAGTTCCTATCAAGAGATTTACACAAATTATAAACTCATTACCAAAACTTCATTCATTAAAAATGTTCTCTTTATCATTAAAACCATCAAAATACTTGTCTATCCAGGGAGAAGAAAATGGCACGTATACAACCGTAAAACATAAAATACGGTATTAACACGAAATCTTGTGTGTCACCTTAGGCCCTATGTGAAACTTTTTTTTTCTAGTGTGCTACTTAGTTTTATATCTAATAAAAATCAACATACAAAAGTCAATTTGGAAACTATAGTTCATGTTATTCTTGAACTTTGTCCTAACATAATATATCTCAAAATAGATTTCATAAATAAAATTTATATTGAATTATTTGTAGAACATATTCTGATGACAATTAACATCATATGTAACCACCAACTACGATTATTGTGTTTTTCTACATCAACTGCAGAAGATCAAACGATTGAAACATTACAAACAAATATTCATTCGGAAAAATATTTTGTTGGATTGTACGATTAAACGTATAGTGAATAACACATATTAAGAATGGAGATAGTTATTATGACGTGTTTTCTTGATTCTTCTGTCAGATTCGAATAAAATTTCGGAAACTCACTCATGTTTTTTTTATTCTAATTAAATAAAATATTGCTTTCATCCGTGTTTTTATTGATATTGAATCAATACTATAAGATTATTGAGTAATGAATAAAAATGTTGCTATGATTAGAATAAATAATGAACCATTTTGATTATAATTGGATTTAAATTACAAGCAATCTATTCTAATGAGAAAATATTAGATTTTTGTACATCAATCTGTTAGTTTTCATTGTTTACATGTTGGATACTGTACTAGTACTATTCAATACAATATGATTCATTCACTATGAACAAACAAATCAGTTTATCCACTGACATAAAATCATATATAATATGAAGATATGCGAATGAAAAAGAAATAGCTGACTAAAATAAATCGAGTCAGCAAATAGATTGACTCGACTTCATATATAATATGAAAATGAAGAAAAGAGAACGATTTAGCTTAGTCGATGTTGCTGACTTCGAACATTTCATCTATATATAATGGGAAAGAGAACGAAATGGCTTAGTCTATGTCTATGACTTCGAACATTTCGAATATATATAATGGGAAAGAGAACGAAATAGCTTAGTCTATGTCTATGACTTCGAACATTTCAGATATATATATAATAGACAGGAAAGAAAGAAAGTGAATTAGCTTAGTCTATGTCTATGACTTCGAACATTTCGAATATATATAATGGGA